CCCTGTTAGTGTTCAAAATAAAACCTAGCAGTTATCTGAAGATGACTTTTACCATGCCAAAATTTATATTGTGTTCCCTAGTTCTACTGTTCTCACTGTTAAATATTAAAAAGAGATGATGCATCAACATTATCAATTCCCTTTATAATCTTAAACACCTCAATCAGATCCCCCCAACTCTTCTTTTTTTTTTCAAGAGAAAACAATTTGAGAGATTTCAATCTCTACTCATAAGACAACTCATCCATCCCTGATTCCATTCTAGTAACCCTTGTCAACAATTCAATGCCTTTCTTAAGGTAAGGAGCCTAAGACTGAACACAATATTCCAAGTGTGACCTATAGTGTGAAATTATAACCTCTTTAGACTTACTTGTATTCAATATTTCTTTAGATACAACCTAAAATCCTATTTGCTCCACCACTAGCAACAGCACATTGCTTGGATAGCTTTAGAGACTGATCAGCTATCAAACCAAGATTTCTTTCCTTCATGACACTGTTAAGGTTATTCCCATCCAAATTATACTTGTAATTCAAATTATGATAACCCACATGCATTATCTTGCACTTATTATAGTTAAAACCCCTTTGCCATTTATTTGCTCAACACACTAAATGATCTAAATCCTTTTGTAACTCGGCAACATCTTCTTCACAACTATCAACACCCAAGACCTTAATATCATTTGAAAATTTAAGTAATTTATTGGCCATTCTTCATTTCTGTCATTGATGTAAATCAAAAAGAGCAAAGATCATAAGACTGAGCCTGAGGTACCTCACTTGTGACATGAATCCAGTTTGACTGAACTCCATTTGTAACAACCCTCTGCTTTCTTCCATCCAGCCACTCTTCTATCCAATTTGCCAACCTATCCTCCACACCTATAGAGATTATATTTTTTTACAAGCCTTTTATGTGGCACCTTGTCAAATGCTTTCTGAAAATTCAGATACACCAAATCTTACAATCATCTATATAAGCAATAACTTTTTCAAAGAATCTCAAAGACTTGCAAGGCAAAATTTTCCCTTAGTGAAACCACGTTGACTATCCAATAAAATTCTAAACTTTGTGTCCAAATAACTCGGCTGCCCAATTCACAACTTAAATTCTTGTTGCATCCCTTCAAAATTTGCTTTTTTGAAATTTGTAACCAAAATATTATTATTCCTTATCTCCATATGCAGCAAAACATTGAACCTAATAGAGCAATGATCACTTGCACCCAGATGTTCCTCAATTTTCACCCTCTTGATCATTAATATATTTGAAGTTAAGAATAAATCTAAAATAGCATTGTTTCTAGTAGGTTCCTTGACTAATTGGTGAAGAAAGCCATCCTGAACAGTTTCCAAAAAACCTTTCTTCCTCATGGTTTAACTCTAGCATATATGCCTGAAATTAAAATCACCCATAATTATGACTTCATTAACAGCTGAAATCTTGTTCTCAATGTAAAGATTCTCACTGATTTCATCAGTATTATTTGGTGATCTGTAACAAATTTCCACTAAAAGCCTTTTCCCTTTATATCCACTAATAGAAACCCAAATGGGTTCAATCTCCTTGCTGTTATCTTTGATATCCTCAACATCAACAGGAATTAACTCACATTTTAAATATAAAGCCACTCCCCTCTCCCCTCTTTATTACTCTATCCCTATTAAATAGCCTGTAACCCTGTATTTCAAAGAAATTTCTGTCATCAAAATCATCTATGTTTAACCATGTTTCGGTTATTCCCATTATATCAAACTCTCCATTCCTACCAGTACTCTAAAGTCATCTATCTTATTTCTTATACTTCTAGCATTACAATAGTAACAATTAAGTCTATCCTTGTAACTACTACACTCGTTTCCTATGCTAAACTTTTCTCTGCCTGTTACTCGCAACTATCTAGTCCTATTTTAAAACTTTTGTTACAGCTGAGTTAATAGCCATAGCAAACAAGCCAGCCCCTATCTTATTTAAATGTAAACCAACCATTCCAGAAAAGCTTTTTTCTTCGACTGAACTGATCCCACAAGTCCAACCAGCCAATCTGCTCATCCTGACATACTAACCTAAGCCTACCATTTAACCCCAGTGACCTTCTTATAGCTTCATCCCAACAGTTAATTCTGGACAGTATCCATGATAAAATTAAGTTGTGGCCTTTTTCTTTAAATGGCATTATCAACCCCTTGTACTTATTTTGGGATGAAAAACCTTTTTCACACCCAATGATCTGTATACACTCGATACGGTATAGTATTAGTCAGTGTTACTATTAGTAATACTAATAATAGTACTAGTATTATAGATCAAGGTTTCACGTCACTTAAGCATAATAATACTAATATTTACTAATAACGGTTTGATGATAGTAAATAGCATAACCTTCGAGATTACAGGAGATCAATAATCAGTGTATGTGAAAAGTATAAAGAACAGGCACCATACATAAAACATTTTTTATGAGTGGAAAATGCCAGCTTGAATGTCAACTGGTAAATCATTTACTAAATGACAGTATAAAACTATTACCCATCCCAACACTTTCTTTAAATACACCTTCCCACTATACTTTAATATTGATAACTCACAAAACTAGGCAAACTATCTGGTTCAACTTGTGGCTACTGCTAAAATTCCATAAAACTAACAAATAAAAGTACTAAAACTAGATATAAAGCCTCAATGAAGACCAAATTCAAAATACACTCAAGAGTACTACTACTAGTACTATTATCCTATCTTCCTTCCCTCTTCCCGATTTTGCAGGATGTGTGGAAGAAAGGCCACTGTTCTCATGTTTATCAAAAAATAAAAGATGGTCTTAAGTGTCTGCATTATTATCTAGAAATAAATGATGTCTTGAATAACATTCAAAAAGACTTAAGAAATAGCAAACAATAGATTCAACTACAATCTCGGCAAATACATAGCCTGGGCTCTCACACCATATGTAACATCTGCAGGTTCATTTTTTAAAGATGCCTTCAATTTCAAATATACACTAAAACAATAGATCACCTAGTCACACCACTGAAAATGTTTGCAAAGGTTTTAACCAATGGTATGCAACAGTGGCTGCCTTTTGTATGTCAAAAAAAACTTTTTTACTGTTTGACATCAAAGTTTAAGAAAATAATTTACTCTAAATTTTGGCCTCATCTTGTTCAAATGGTTTTCTGTTTTTTTTAACGAACCTGTAGATAAAAGTTAAAATTCATACTCATCCACATTCACACAGCTGGCAGGTAGAGTTCTTTAGGAATCTGTAATGGGGCCTTTGTTCTTCATTACTTATCATATGTATTCGGTCAGTAATGTTATGGAAAAAGGTTAAGGCTTAAGGTCTGATCTCTGATAACACCCTAAAGCCTTCAGCTGAATATGTAGCATTTGCCCCCTTACTGTTAGAAGATATTATTGTGATTGAGAGCACTAGAATATTACCTAGTTCAAGACATTTAAGATTGACTATAAGGAGAATATTTAGTTTTAGACTTGGTTGTTTCTAGAGCATAGAAGAATTAATGGAGACTTCATGTACTTGTTCCAAACTGTGAAGGTTAAGCTTGGACAGTTTTTATGTTGACAGTCTGTTTGAGCAGTGAAATATATGTTTGAAATGGGAACTTAAATATTTAAGTAATAGGTTTGGAAGTCTCATTACAGGCATGGATATGCTCTTTAAGAGAATATTTTTTAAGTTATAAACTTAAGGAATGGTTTGTATGATGATGTGGTTTATGCTGTTTATAAGAATTCTTTCAGAATTTTGTTAAATAGATATATTGGTGTAAAGGACTATATTGGAATATTGTGTTCAGTCTGGGGCTCCTTATCTCAGGAAAGACATTGAATTGTTGGAAAGGGTTCAGAGAAGGGTTACTAGAATGGTGCATGGGATGGAGGGGTTGTCATACGAGGAGAGGCTAAAATCTCCCAAATTGTTTTCTCTTGATGCTTCATCTTTTTTTCATATTTAACAATGAGAATAGTAGGACTAGGTGACACAAATATAT